CGAACCTCGATGGGTTGAGACTGAAAAGAAGGCATTTTTCATCGCTTGCCTTTATTCGGAATGACCCGCCTGATGCGAGGTTTGTGGAGGTGAAATTTATTGTCCTTCTCCTGAAGAGGTAACCGAAAAGTGAAAGCGAAACGGTTAATGTTGAGGGAAAACAAATGTAAACCTCCGTCTGGAAATAAGGTATAGACTATTTTGCATTGAAATCGATACTTGTCAGTGGGTTTTAATTTGCACTCAATCCACTTTATCGACCTTAAATAACGTTCCAAGGTTTCACTGGTTCAAGCTCTACGTTAATTGAGAAGCAGCATCAATAAATTCCGCATTGATTTTGAATGCAAAGGACCGCGGAACGCCCAGAACCAGGAGAGACAGAAGCTTGTTTCACCATTAGACCGATTTTGACCGCTTTTGATCTGTTCCTCGACGTCTCTTTCCAGGAGCAAACAACTTCGTTTTATATCAATTTGATGAGTGCAAAAAATTCAGATATTCTCACACTACTTACAAACTATATGTAGTTCAGACAAAAGGTTGATTCACATGACGAGTGAACCTTTTGTCTGAAAAGCCGTCACTCGTGTAGACAGTCAACCCACAATGTGAATTCCGTGATTGGTGGCCACACCCCCTGTCTGAATGCGAGGTTGATCGCACCATTGATCAGCGGTGGCCGAACGGTTCAGTGTTCAACTGCTAACCTGTAGGTCGTGTGTCCGAAATTGAAATGTCTTTCGTGAGATGCGTGCTGTTGAAAACGCTCAATGGGAAGTAACGGATGCATAGTGTTTCTCAGTTTCTTCCTATCATAGCTTGGCTTCTCTTACAGGTCGAAATCTCCATTAAAAGCTCTTAAATCTCTCCATACTAGCAACAAGTTCAAGAGTGTTCTCGTAATCAAACTCGATGGCTCAAAGTTTGGGAATATATGAGGTGATAAAATATATTGGAAATTAGTGTTAGATCTATTCGCCTCTTGATACACTACAGATTGACAATGAAATAAATTATACCGTAGCATTCATTTCATTAGTAATACTATGGCCGCCTTTCATCGATTCAGGAAAATATTGATGAACTACGATCACAGCTGGGACGGGCACAAAACTTGCTTGAGTCAACGCAGTCTGAACTGGAACAGAAGACACAAACACTGTGCAAGCTGGATAAAGAAAACGCTCACTTACGTCATGTTGCAAAGTTATACGAAAGCGAAAAAATTGCACACATGGTAAGCAGCAGACATTTTTTCAATCACCTCTTTGATGCACCTTAAACACATAGCATGTTTGTATGGAAGGCTTCACGCGTAGTTGGAGGATGAGGAAAACTTTGTTCTAGAAGAGCATGGAAATGTTCTTAGACGTGTTGAAATAAAGGTTCAGTAAGGGTGATATATCTGAAATGGATATTTCACTTCTCCAGTAAATGTATCGCTTTTCTATCCATCTAATCCAGAGACAGGAGATGTGCCGTTTTTTCTCGGCCTACCTCTCCTGCCTAATTTCTTACGTCATTGAATGTGAACCACCAGGTTTCCTAGGCCGATGCATGGAAGGGGAAATGAAGACAAATGGCCACCTGGCACAGGTCCATATGTTCGAGCCTGAACATACTACGGTATAAGATAATAACTCTAACATGCACCCTACAACGCGATGGGTCAGGTACCTCTCCCATATCCTCTATCCTCCCATTCCTCTATCCTGAGATGAACTAAAAGATGATTGAATATTGCGTTAGCCGCCTCACCTCTCGAGATTGTATTTCGCACAGTTTTTGATCTCCCATATTCGCACCATGAGCTTCACTCACTCTGAACTCGCTACTAATATTGAACTCTTCCTTGCTTGTTCGTGGAATCCTGTAAAGTATCCTCAGTCAGTTTATCTGGCAAGCTATGAAATAAACGGCCCTGCAGCTCAGAGTTTTCTGCACGCCTACGCCGTTATTTGACACTCAGTATTAGCACGAAGGCGAAGCAGATTTATGTTTTAGTTTGAGGTTAGTCTTTCGGATTCACCTTCTGGTATAACTTTTCGTTCACTTTACATGCACCTGAGCTTAAAGTTTCCACGATTTACGAAATACAATAGTGATCTCACTACTTTCTCTTCTGTCGTCATTCACCGCAGTGTCATACATTCGTGTGATCCTATCACAATTTACCATGAGGAAATCGATCGGGCCTCACGGTTAATGTATCCTTATCAGTATTGTTATTATTTTCATAACTGCATTTTATTTAGCCTTTCCAGTGAAAAAAGTTTGCTGGTATACGTTGTCTCCTGGTTTCAACTCCATGCCTTCGAGTTCAGTCTAAAGTTCGATAAAACAACTACAGTCGGTTTTCTATATTTTTAATAGGATAGTTAATTCCGGCCCATCTGTTGCTTGCAATAGTAGCGTTTCCTCGTGGAAGATTTCATTTCTATGAATCTCTGGATTCCGAACATGCCACTGGCGTTTTAATCGGGTTCAAGTGTTATTGAGAAATTCGTATGGGCTTGCCATCCTATTGGGCTTCCTCGAGTCGGTACGTCTATCACCACTCTCTGGGACAACTAGAGGTAGGGATTTGTCTTTGCAAATCAGTGCTGTGACGATTCTTGACTTGTCTTGGGGACATTTCTGTCTATCCATTTTTGAGGATTCAGCGATCGTTGTCGATGCTGCTCTTCACTTATGAGTGGCTCAACTAATGAGACGGCGAACGATATATGAACTTCTGAATGAGTGTAATATAGTTTGGGCTGACCTCAGAGCTGTGTAAGTGCAGTTTGGTTTAGTACCGCGCCAGATCAGGAAACGGCTGTATAAAGTCCTCCACAGGTCATAACAGGTCCTCCCGAATGAATGCAGGGCTCTGCACCGGCCAAAGTAGTTTTTGTCTAGCGCAGTTTTGGTGTCATTCAGGTAGTTAAACATGAGACTACTCTTACTACCAGCGATCTATTCTTCATGAGTAAGCTAGTCATGATGATCAACAATCCTCGAGGATTCCGTGTGGATGAACTAAGAAGGCTGTGACAGAAGGCCTGCAGTGGCCGCAGTTATGCATTGCGAAGGTAGAGGAGTATGAAGAAGATCACGAAACGCTTGGGTGCTGTCGGTGCTACTCGCCTTCCAGGATGGGGACCGCGTGATCCTCACTGTGCTTGGTTGGAGACACTACAGGATATGGCTACCAACCGATGTCAGTGGCATTCTTGTTGTCAGTTTCTGTCCAGATTGCCTAAGTGAATGTCTGGAGGTGTAGGCACCTCAGAATGATTGTGTTAAGCTAGCACTAAGTCCCTCCCCCGTTCACCTTTATTCTTTTCTATACAATAAGGCTTTCAAATAAGTCATGGTTGTACGGCAGTGAAGCATCGGTGTTGAACACTGATGCCATGCTGTCGATGATGATGATGATGCATTGCGAACCCTACCTGCGTTACATCTCGTCTTCGAAGCTGACACAGTCGAGATTCCAGAGTCGTAAGCCTCAATGACGTTCATCCATCCAAGCTACTGCCTTCAATGCGTAGCTCCATTCCAAACCCCTCAGTTGACAGTCCACTGACAGTGCTGGATGTACGAATCAATTTATCATTTCCCGCTTCTAATGCAAAGCTATCTACCCCACCTCCCCACATCATCGGTAAGCAAAACTGTGTCAGATACAATCACTGTACGACAAGTACGCAGTTCTCACATCTGATTAGCTTACGGTTTGGGTATCCTTTTCAATGACTATATTGGTCAACACTGGAGTCGGTGGTTAGATGCAATGTGTTCAACATATTGATGGGGTGTAACTTGGTTATTTCAAAGAATCCTCATTGGTAGATGCACTCCTCCGCACTGCTATCTCATCAGCAAATAATTAAGATTAACTCGACGCCAGACGCAAGAATGTTAACTTAAATGCTAGAAAACAGAGTTCCGAGAGTGGACCCTGTGGTACTTCCATGCTGAGGTTTAAACACGTGAGCATTTCCTTGGCCAGCAGAGCCCACTTCCTGTTTGTTGAAAAACATCCGGAAGTAAAAATGCTGAATTAATGAAGTAAAGTGTCTTGTACACATATATTCTGACCAGCACTGTGTAGTTATTACTTCGATGCTATTCACAGATATTAGCTGAAAAATACATGTGGGCTGAGGTTCAGTAAGTCACATCACGTTTGAACAGGATAACTGAGTACAGTGCTTAGCGCGACGAAACTCTCATGTGATTTTCAAAAGCCCAGATGACTTAAGCAGCCTTGCCAGTAATATATGAATGAGTTCCAAGTTAGACAGATGGTGGTTGGTGGGCTGGGAACTCGCAAAATGGCTAAAAGCATACATCTCTAAATTAAACGTAAATCCACAGACAGTAATCAGGATGAAAGGAAGTTGGTCGAGAAGTCTCATTCGTTGCTTTCCCAAAGATCTGCGTCCCATGTCATGGGTAACGCGTTGTTGGAGGGTGACGACCGAAAAATATATTACATCTATATTTGTCATGCACCATCCAAATGAACATCAGCGTATGTAAGTCGGCTGGACGCTGAATCAGCCTGGAATTAGCAGAAAATGAATCTCGAAGTGACAGTCAAATTAGATGAGTAGAAAGACCGTGGGCGTACATGTGTCTGGTGATTTGGTCGAACGGAATGTCAAACATGTGGATTTCCGCACCCTTAGCGCGACGACCTTCAATTTTATAAAGCCACAGGGATACTACATCAAAAGGCCACAGAATGCTTTGATAACATTGAGGTGATTCCCTAATGACCGCGCTTTTTGTTTACCATTTGTCAGTAGCCGTATTTTTGGATACTGTCAACAACTGCGCTGTCGTTGTGTCTGTGAATTCTTAGTTTGTTTGGCCAGCTCAAAACGGACTCAATCGTAGAATTGTTGGATAGAATATTTCGATTATTCGGCTACGCAGTTCATACCTCACTATGTTTAGAATAAGTGCTATACACCTAAATATGTGGGACGTGATGAACATGTGGAATGTTGAGAAAATGAGTCCGACTGCACAGATAGCATCGATCCGTTACAGGACGGAAAATCGCACGCAGAATGTATCATCCTGTATAGTCTGCATTCTTTTTTTATTCTATACTTCGATAAATTTTCATTTCGTTTCTCTTCAGCTGACCAAGCAGAATGCTAAGAAAACGGTTCTGGCAATGCAGAAGACTGAAATGAACCTGGACATCATGACGGAAAGGTTCGATGCGGTATGTACTACTGAACAACGTGAAAAGTTGAAACTTCTGAGGATTTGATACGGCATATGGTCGAAAGGTCATCAAAGCAGCTGCGTCGGGTAGCAAATATCCACCAGCCATGAGTTCATCATATAAAACTGTGCCGTATATTGTCAGTTTGATGCTCAAACAACATAGCCCCACATGGTCAGAACTCCAGCTACGATTGAGGATATACCGGCATGTATAGCCGAACCTCAAATCGGATGGGTTCGGCATGACGAGAGTAAGCCTCAGTAAGCGGAGGCACATAAGAGAGATACTGCTCCAACGGCAGCATCAAAAATTTGTAACAGAAACTCAGAAGAAATTGGCACATGAAAGCACGATCATTGCAGTAGACCCTGAGTGATAGAAGTGTGAATCCGACCTGTTTTGTCGTGCTTCAATACTACGCTGTCAATGCGTAACTTCCATTCAGACTGTACAGATAATGCAGGAAGTTATCTTGTTGAACACGTGTCAACAACTTGTTGGAAAAGTTCTGCCATAACAGACCGGATGTGAATGATGGATTCCATCATTTCTTTCCTGTTAGGAAGTGCTGAATTCCGTCCATACACTCGGTCTCATTTCCAGTAGGTTAAGAAGTGACCTTTTGGCAGATTTGAGCCTTAAGTCTACCTCTGGCTTTGCTGTGACTGGATAAATTGACCGTATGCCCATCGTCGTGCTTCCTATGGGCTGTATGGGAAATTTGCACCGGAAATGCACCAGAGCTGGATAATTTTACTTCATCATAATAGGATCCAGTACAGGCAAAGGGTATTTGAAAACAATCAATCAGTAAACAAGTAATAAACGAATGGGGCCCACTTGGTATCTNTGAACGAACCGCTGTAGGAGTAGGAGAATGACCCCGTGCTCGAGACTCCCCAGTTCCATGAAATGAGCACTCAGACGATCCCCAATATGAATGAAACGATTATACAGCGCTTCCAGGCTTTCCAGCATAGATTGGCTTTACTTACAGGACGAAGTCGTTACTGAATAAATAACTCACAATTAGACAGGACATAACGGGATCCATCGTTCAACAGAGAAAATCTAAATCCTTCAGACACCTCTGGCGAAGAAAAACACGAGAAGTAGAATCTTGACTAGGTAGGACATCCCGGGAGATTTTTCTGGACTGAACGGAACCAGCGATAGGCTCATTCGTAGCAACGTGCTTATGTGATGAAATTTTTCTGGACTGAACGGAACCAGCGATATGCTCATTCGTAGCAATGTGCTTATGTGATGTGTACTTTTCACATGTTTTCAACAGTGGACAATGTACCATTATGCTCTGAAGCGTGAGTCCACAAACAGTTCTTCGTTATCACTTTACCTGCATTACTTTAGCTAGATAAAATGCGCAGTGGTCTCGCGTCCCAGTTTGAAAAGCTTTTGATGAATGTTCAACAGCGCACGGGATTGAGGGCTTTGCTGGTGGAGCGGAAATTGAAGCACCTAACTGAAGCCCTCGAAGCTCGTGAGGCTCAAATCACGCAGCTTGTGATCGCACTGAACAGCGATCCATCCGCTGTGGAACACGCGCGTCAACACTTGGAGGTGAGTGGGTTGAATTTAGTCGACGCAGACCTGCTAAGCAAACGAGTGGTGCATACACACAGATTTTCGTACACCTTTGTTGTAGTACAGACCGAAGTGATGTGCTTCGGAAGAATATATTCTTGTGTTTCTGCCAGATGACGCCATTTGCATGTAGTAATTAGTCTCCCACCGGACAACACACCACGCATGACCGTATAACCAACAGGCGCAGCACCGTTCATCCAGCTCTTTTCGCTTCTACCGTATCGGAAACGGTTGGTTAAAAAACAGTTAAATAGAATAGAGGGACGATTGGGCAGAGAAGACCAGGATATGCATCACATGAAACTAGGTGCGATTTTCGAAGTCTAGTCGAAAAGTCCGATTTAATAATTCAGGCAACAGTGGTGAACATGGACAGACCATTTCGTGGTTGAATTTTAACAGGAAAACAAATTATTATATTTAGTGCTGGGGTTCTCTGAGCTCAATTATAGCTTGAATCCAGAGACATGACACAGACGAACTAGGACCAGTATGAGCCATATTGGTCAGCCATCTGTTCTATTGCCGCTTCACAGACGTAGCCATTCCTTCGATATGCCCATCTGGACAGAATATGGATTTCATTAACATGAAAATATAGTCTCGGTATGTTGTGATTCTGCCGTCTGAGTAGTATACCGAACAGACCAAAACGGTTTCCAACTCATCTCATTGTGAAGTGGCCGCAACGTATCCCAGCCATCCCAGCAGTGAATAAATACCGTTGAAATTAATAAGTACCAGGTATATTGAGCTCAGTCCAGCGCACTATCGTGATCTTCTGCCACTAACAGCCCAGGTCTCTTAGATATTCCGTTTTTTAAAGTAATATGTTTTAACAATTCCTGTTCACGGATCGGTTTTTGGTGGCCAGAACCTACAAGGAAAATAAGACACTCGCACCAAGTTTCTCTTACACAACTATGCTACTAAGACCTTAACATTTCTGCGCACATATCAGATTTGACGAGCGTATCGTTTAGGGGAAAATTTGAGGCTTTTTAAAGTTGACTTTGAAGCACCAATTGCCACCCAATGTCATCCGAATAGATTTGGGCCAAGTTATCGGTATCATCCACAAACAAAGTTGTCAGGTATGGATCCGATCTTTCACAAATCACCCACTTTATTTGTTTTCAGGAACTGCTACGCAAGAAAAACACTGCGATCGAGGAGCTACAATATGAAGTGATGCGAATGGGAAAAGTAAGTAGTAAAGAATGAGGCACAGTATTTAAAGCGTACCGGTACGTCGCCTCTGAAACAATGACGCGATACTAAGGTTGATACCTACAGTATCACCAGACACGAGATCAAATAACAAGAGGAACAGGGAGGTCGGACAATGCTTGTGTGAGTGTGTACAGTAAGCATCCAAATGGGTAATAGGCATATGCATCAGGTTTTATTGACTCGTTTGTCTATATGTTACACAGCCGTTGCAACTTGAAAAGCTCTTGCATGCGAAAGGATAGAAATGTCCGAGTGAGATCAAACATCTAGGGTTGGGGACGAGCAGAGTCGGCTTAAATAGTCCATTTAATGGCTGCTTAGTCATCTCATAACAATCCCGTTATTAGATGCAATACCAATACAAACTGCGACAGAAGGACAGACTTCCTAGACAAGTTCGTGGTGGGGCTAACCGAGTCTGAATTTAAGAAGTTCAAATGTAAACATAAACAAGACAGCTGACAAGACATTCCCAAATAGGCTATGAATCTTTTGGTTTACATAAGTCACACTAACGCCTTCTTTAATACCTTGAAGCAAAAATACGGAGGCACGATGTGTGCATTCCTTTAGCGAACCCGTAAGGACTGGAACGATTCCAAACAGCTTTGTAGTTTAGCGGCCTACATTCAAACAGACTGATGGGCTCCCAGACTGAGCCACCCATCAGGAGAAGACCCCCAACAAAGACCACTTTGCTGGGACCCTGCGAAACTTGCTTTGCTCCCCAGCACTCAGTAAAAACCGCTAAGATTAAAAAACAGGGATGCACAACTGACACACTGGGGATTCTTAAATTCCCTCACCGAGTGGACATACCACTAGTCTATGCAAACGAAATAGACCGCAAATTGATGGCGTCCAAATGGTTACACTGGTACTCATCATCATCGTCGATAGCATCACATCAGTGTTCAACACTAAAGCTTCGTTGCCGTAAAATCAGTACTACAGTTATCACCCATTGGGACTCAAACTAGAGGAATCACCATTGTTGTTTCGTCCTACCGGGGGGAGCCACTTTTAATGGACCTGCATGGTCTTTCCAGGGTAGGCAACTGTAAATGCGCGGAACTGAAAAATAGGCAGGATCTTACCATAAAAATAACATACTTTCTTTGGAGAGGGATCAGCGATACGTACTATCCTACCATGACATGAGGAAATTTACCACCCTAAATTATTTCAGATACGTTGCCACATCATGCACAAGAAGAAGTGGTTTTCTTTAGGTTGCGATACTACAGGGATATGTAGCCTGAGTTTGTCAAAATTTCGCAGCGCTTACAATCAAGCCGTTTTCAGTTTATTATTTTTTCTGCCGACACATCCTAAGCAGATTTGTAACACTAATGTGAAGAATATAAACACATTCAGTGGACAGTAAACCTGGGCTGGTGCCGCACATCTTGGAACCTCAGTAGTTATCTTCTTGATATAACACTGGCTATAAGCTTACCGAAATCTCCTCAAAAGTCGAATTCGCCCTTTCTAGGACCCATCAGGTTGGCGTAGTCAGTTGCTGCTGACCCTTTCTCTAAACTACCAGACTTTTTTTGGGTACCACACCAACTGCTGGTGAATACCTTGATTAGACATTCAAATGATGGACGTGGATACTTTGTTCACTATGCTTTTGACGGCCATTGGAGTGCTGACCCCAGTTTACTGCTTATTCCTCAAGAGTTCCTCAATTCAGAGGGATTTTACTTTTCGTTGGTACTGATTATGAAATTGGGTGGAAATCGCCAACACCTCATGCCGCTGTCGCTCCGTACCGGGTTTGGACAGCTACAAATATTCTTCAAATCATTGTGTGAAACAAAGGCCGATTTACGTTTCATTCTACAAATCCCAGCGTGCTTTCATGACGAATATTCGACAGCTCACAACCAGTCGCGCCCATCTTGGGATCTCCTTCTTATACCAGTTAGTTTTCAAACGAACGCATTTCACTAAGCGCGCCTAACTCATAAACTCCAACAGCGTAGCCGGCCGTGGACGTGTTACGTCAAAGATAAGTCTTGGCGATGTTGCGGAATATGGGTAGCTCGGGCGTGTTGTTTGGTTCTTGGCTTGCTCGCCGAGCTTGGGAGCTGGGGTGCAAAAACGCACCACCATTAATCGAGGTAACAGTCATTGCGGGATTGCGTAAATTCTTCCTTCTCTGTTTGTACTTATAATTTCTCAGGAGTACCTAGTGTCCCCAAAATGGTTGGTTGCTCGCGAGGTGGCTTTCACACAGATTGGTTGTTCGGCTTGGGAACTGAGCTGCGTTGGTGTATGGCAGTGCAATGTAGGTGGTTAAGGTGTTGTTGCTATTGCTGGAGTGAAAATTATTAGGTTTTTTAAACACTCCCCCAGTACATCAAGCTTACCATACGCTTTGTACACTTCCACAGGCCTATAATGAATTGTGGGCGACATGTCAACGGAAGTTGGTGGATGAAATGAACTCACCAGTAAACCTAGGAATCATGCCAGTCAAAGTTAACGTGAACCTAACATCGCCATTCAATCCTTCGACGGCTATCGGTCAGAAAGTTGCCGACAATACAAATTCAGAAGAAAGTTCGCAAAAACTATTAGGCGAACCGAAATCCACAATTGTACCGATGGGTCAGGGTCCAACAGGATTGGCATCAGTTGCTCCGTTTTGATTTCTGCTCCACTTCTCATTGAACTGGTATATCGGGATCTCGAGGATATGAACTATGACGACCGTAACAAAACACACGACCAAAGACAAATGATTTATCGCATAATTAGTGATTGAATAAGGGACAAAACCAGCAAAATAAGGTCGATTTGGAACTTTACGCGACCACACTAAAATTCTCTGAGTTCATATAACCGCAAATTCTACATAACCTTCGAATTTCCATCCTCATATTTGTCAGAAGAATGAACCTTGTGACAGCATGAGTTTTTTTATTGAACAAATTTGTGGAAATGCACGAACAGGTTTGCATCCGCTGAACATTTATGGCGCATCTAGATCTATGTACGGACGTCGCGGAAAACCACGCCTGTGCAAGAAAAAAATTAAACATGTGCTTCAACAAAAAATCAGGACAACGACACCCAAAGTACAGACCCACTAAATAAAAAGGTTACCTGACTTTCCGCTAAGATTCTGAAAAATGAGCGCCATCCTCAGGAAGAGGCCTTTTTAGCGGCAGCATTAACAAATTCAGTGGCATCATTTCAGCGTCACGGGGAGCAAAACCAGTCCCACTTAATTCTTTCGAGCTTTCTCATTTGGTGAACTAGTGAACTTAGCTGTGCTTCATTTAGTGTATCAGTGGACATAAAAATCGGCAGACAGAACAAACTACACCGTTCCTAATTAAAACAAACAAAACGATTTTCGGACGCAGCGGCTGTTGTACGTTACATACCGTATAAGACCATAGTTTGGCATGCCTCCGTAGCCTCGCGCGCGGTATGGATGAAAGGGTAATCTGGGCTGGAAGTAGGGCACCCGATATGGACGTGGCGGAAAATTTCCAGCCTGGAGATAGTCTCTACTAGGTTGATAAAGAGGGTCCAACTGTCTGAAGCTGTCTTCACGTCTTCTTTGGGGACCTTGCCAACTTGGGCTTGACTGCGACCGCTCACGAAGTGTTTCGCGTGTAACTTCATTGATAGATTGACGCTGAGTTTCATGTGTTTTGGAATCCGAGCGACGCTTCTTCGGAGGAAGATGAGGCTCCAGAGGGAGTTGTGGTCTCATAGGGTCCAGTAAGTAATTATTGAAGTATATGGCCTGAGAAAGGTTGAAGCGAGACATGTATACAAAATCGTGGGATTCAGTCCGAAAGAGAGTAAAAGCAAAACAGTTTGGATCGACTCGAAGCACTCATGCACAACGTATCAGTCTAATATGGAGCGTTTGATTTCAGCCGTAATCGCTTAAAGTGAAAACGGTATATCCTCCATGACTGCGGTATTCAAAAAGTCTCAATTGATTTGCAAACATCCAAGCTCCTGTGTTCTAACAATTGTAAATCGAACACTTCTCCAGAGAATTTGGCTGATTTGCTCCCACGAAGAGTGCATCATCGCATGTGTTTCACGTAATTCAGCATGACATTGGAATACAACCAAGCCCGTTCATTTGTGCTAGATATAGGCCGATTCCATCTTACGAAGACCGCAGGAAAGCGACGCAGGACTGCAAATTTCTAAATGTGCTGTCGTGTTACAACGCACATTTATCGTGCCGTTCGGGGATCAATGGTTATAGTACAAATGTCAGAGCTCAGGATGACGTACTTCGCTAGTTGAACAAAACTGCAATGTGGGCACCATTGAATGGGACCGAAATTGTCAAGAAAGGCGATGAGCGCTGACACTCAGGGTAGTTGAAACGTGATCCGATTCACTCCAGACTGCACGTTAGTAGTCTCTCAAGGGCAGCCGCAATCCAAGAGATTACTGGAGTTCAACACCCCCGCGCAATCATGTCAAAACTCGATAACAACATTAAATCCCCAAAGAGCCCGGTGGGAACCTATAAAATGATGGTCAAATTTCATCCTATGGAATTCCCATCGCGCCTCATTACAGTTTGGCGACAAACACACTTTGATTCTTTGTGTTTTCTGACCATCCTCCAAACTTCAGAGAAGTTAGTTTTATCACGCTTTACAATGCCGAGATGACGGAGTGGTACAAAAGACTGACAGAAAAACCAAATAGACCGTATACACAAACTATGGGTGGTGAAGCGAAACATTACCAAATAACTCGTATGAACCACGAAAGGGACAAAGAGACATCACACGCGGGCATTATGAACAAGAGATCAGGTAACAACCTCTGCACCATATTCATATTACGTGCACTCGGAGGAAGAAAATGCGGAGAATGGAAAAAATATAACAAACTGGATACAACATGTTCATCCATTCGGTCAATAGCTAAATTCCTTCGGCAATATCAGGCGCTGCAAATGGGTCAGTCAGTGCCCGTGGTCCCGGGCACATGCACAATTTACGGTGCAGACGACAGGTACGTAGTAGCCATATCAAGTCTATGAATTGTAGGGAAATTCTACAACTGCTTTAATACCACAAAAATTCCTATCCAAAAATGGCTACACGTACAACAATAATGCTGCAACCATGTGTGTTGGAAAACAGTGTGTTCATTAAAACAGTGAAAACAAAAGATACCACCTAACATCGGCTCTGGTTGATTCTGGACAGAACCTGACTCCCAGATACAAAGTTACTTTGTATATGTCACAAATTATAAACCGTACTTTTGAAGCAGAACTTGGTGCAAATGATCACCAGTGTATATAGTAAATCCATATTCCTGATGTTGTGCCCTGCCCTCATTTGCATTGAGAAGCCTGACTTCTCCGGCATCACGTGGACCGGAATTGAATAGTAGTCAAATGATCTCATGCTACGTCATACCAAAGTCGAACGACGGCGATCAATGGGACCTACTTCGAATTATGTAACCTGCTTTTTGTCGAAGATCCCATCCGAATGTACGTCGCGCTAGTACCGCTCTTTCGAAGTATTATTAAGCGTGCCGACGGCTGGCATCGTTTTATTAAAGTAAGGGCTGACAAGAAAAGTAGATCTACTCACTGGCTGCCGAACGAAAACAGTGGCTTGAGTTCCGGACCGGATTTCTGGAACCCCGCTATTGCTAATGAAGTCACAGCAAAAGGACCCATGCATCTGGTCAATACAGATGTTCAGTAGCTGGATGTGTTTGCAAGTACACCATTTAAGATGAGTACGATGGACACAAAACTGGTGTTGCTTTTTTGTGGCTTTCAATTCGGTGAAGTTCATTTATCCATGTTCTAAGACGAAATTGCTCCGGTCACTATGGTTATATTCACAGAAAGCGTGATAGAAAGAGAACAGCCGAGTAGATGATAGCTTATCATTACAAAGCACAGATTTTGGAGAGTTCATGAAAGGGAAATTTCGTCCTTATGATCACAAGTACAACTCGGGTCGCCAAAGTGTGCGCAGAATTGAGAATTTTCAATGGATATTTCATCCTGTAAGTGGTGCCAAGCTATGCTGAAAAGTGGCGAAGCACTGTACAATTCTTTCATTCTCATTGGGAATCATCATCCTTGTGCACGAAAACCCAGGGAGTCTGGCTTTTCAACATAGATTGGCTTCAATGACAAGACAAAATCTCCATCGGAAATCTGAGTGTCGCTTGTTGACAGTCTGTTAATTCTCCCGAACACTGCACATACTACGCGCCGACAACACTTGTTATCAAAGCGCACCACGGGAGGTGCGCGAGTGCCTGTCAAATAGAATAAGCTGAAGAACAGATAACTCTCTCTCTGGCCAGATTCGGCTTTTGATTGGCAGGCGAAGGTCTGTGGTTTCGACGAGCGATATAAGAAAACTCACATTATCCTTTTTCACCGTTTCGACCTTGTCCAGATGTTTGTTCATTATGTGTTTCTTCACGTAGATTGGATCTCGAAACTTTTTGTCAGACAGTAAACACACCCATATGACATCTCTATAAGAAACGGGGTAACAGAAGAGAGAAACCTAGACACTTTTATCATTAATAGTGAAAAACTAGTCAGTCTTTTAACGTGAATTTAAAATGTTATCAAGTGAAGTAGTCAAACATGGAAGTCAAACCGGAGGGGATGAAAACAGGATAAGCCACGAGTCCCGTGACTGAAATGAGTTGTACAATAATGCCGGGACTGTCAAACTCTGGCCATGAAGTGCACTTTCGATCATTAGTAGACACAGGGAAATGAGTGGTTCACTCTCAATACGAAGTGACTCGATCGTTAACGTTGCTTCACCTCTCAAATGGATGCCTGCTAACGCAGTGTCACGCTACACGTATGCTTTGAAATTACATCCTTGCGGATATAACAGTGAGTCTGCTGTACACCCCAAGCGGTCTTCCTAAGCCTACCTATCACACCTCCAAATTACACCTATTTCGTATCGTGTTAATACATCAAGTCGACAGTCCTACACAAACGTTAGCCGTCTGTATTGTCAAATTAAGAAGTAGTGTCAACTAGTCGTCCGACCACACTTATAAAGTGAGCTGAGGGGTTCCGTTTTGATCTACTGATAAACTGAATATTTTGAATGAATATGTCACCATAAACGGCGTTTTTATGAGTAGTAGGCTCACAAGATGTTACTCATAAACACCTATCAAATGAAATCGTGTGGTTATGGATTTTGTATTTCGAATATAATACAAACAGAACTTCCTTAAGCCAACTTACACATATTCCCTTGTCGTGGACGGAGCACCGATTGGTCATGGACCGAGCACATCCGTTTGAATAAGCAAAGGACATCACCACATTTTGCTGTGCGGAGTATTTGTTGCACTGTCACACGGTCTTGGAGTGGAGAAGTGCGTTGTCTGGTATCAGCCGTACACACGTTCAAATAGACATAGTTTCAGATGACCTACCGGCGAAGGTCCTAGCGCATACGTCCAGCTCACCTTTTGAAGGGCTTAACATCGACTGATTGTGCACTTCGGGTGAATAGCGCAGTTAATGTAGGAAACCATGGAGCCCTAAGCGCCATTTTGTGGCTGTATGGACCAGGGTGGGCAGCTGCTCCTGTTAGATTCATCCAATAAGTCCCAAGCAAAATGGGACTTGTTCCGTAACTTGCGAACATCAAGTCACACTATCGAAAACCCCGGTCTGATCATACAAATATTCGAGTTTTTCCAAACAGGGATTTACACTTAAGTTACTTTAGAGTCATTTGTTTTGTTATGGGCTTGTAGAAGAAAAAAAGAAACGCTACTCAACGGCATGTTCCATTTGGATTCATAAAAGCCTGTTTGAAAATCAACCCAAAGGAAATGCGAAAAACTTTTACTCGAAGGGTAACAAGTTGATCAAAGAAAGGCCAATGTCGATGTCAGATAACCGTGACTCTCAATAAGAATCAGAGCAGGAAAAAGTTTAAGCCTTACAAATAGTTAGATTTAATATCCCAAGACTATGAAGTTACACAAAACCAGAGCAGTTGGTGAAAAAGCATAGGATAAATTTATTCCTAGTGTTAGTTGGTGCAGGGGTGGTGATTTGACAGAAAAAGCATAGAAACCTACGTTTTTCGCTTTTTCCGACGCGTGTTTGACTTCACAAATGCTTCGACAACCTCATTCACATCTCTTAGTCCTAATCGCTTGCATTCCGTTTCATCCAAGGGACGTATCAGACGGACCAATCGTTTCAACTGGCAAGCAAAAATCTGTTTTGGGTGGGGACAAAAGTGCGGTTGTAACAAACTCAAAGGTTGAACTTGCGCAGACAAACCGATAAAGAGGAACAGACAAATAGAAGTTCGGAAAAATTTACAGATCTATTGCTCCCCACAGAAAAAAATCGCCGAACGAAGTGAGCAGATTGGCAAAAATTTTAAGGTGGATAAACAAATCAGCAAAATCTCTTTAGGTTGGTATACTAAATCAGTGTCGGATAAAAACGCTCGTTGGTTGATGTGGACGACTAAGCTTTAGGATTGATAATTTAGAGGTAGAAATTAACATTAGTCCGTGTCGGGTTTTGGACCTTGTTCTTCCGACTCATGGGATTTTAGTTCACGATCCGTTTTGGATGTTATTTACAGATTTTGTTTGTCTATGCAGATGAGCGTGAGCTACAACTCGCTTATGTTCGGGTGGGATTACTTTGATTCCCGTCGAACAGGGTCATGTACTAAAGATCTGAACCACTTTTGTTGACGAATCGTCTTCCCTCATAGCCGAACAGCACCATGTGACAGCTCGGTCGATTTAGAACTGTTCACCACACACTCGCCTTCTATTGTGTTCACACTGGGATATTCGGTGATTTCCACCACCTTGATCATCGGTCGCTGTGGCGTGAATTGTAACGCGGAGGCTCAAAACTTAGTTACTTGTTTACACTTCTCTTGTGTTAGCGGCTTATAGTGTGGAGTTTGCTGGAAGTATGCTCACCACCAATGAAAAGTGAGTTGCAGACGTACAAGTGGATTTGAACACATTCGATTGTTCGATATATCTAAGTATGTCACTAAAGGCCTTCTGTGATATCATGTAAAACAGCAAGTGCTTTCAAATTACAAAACTCGAACGTCATGTGTTTCGGTTGATCTTTTCGACCGAGACCACTCTGCAATTTCGTGCGGAGTCCCTCAGCTGGACTTTACTATCCGAGATTATGTTGTATCAAGCATATAGTAAAATATACACACCTACGCTGCCGAGTGAAAAACCCATGTTCACTGACAGTCCGAGTAATAGTGCAAAATAGATGCGAACATCCATATATTTTGACTAGCTAGACTGTTCGACCGCGCCCTAACCAACCACCCATTATCTTGAACGTTGCATTTCCAAGAGCTTATGTTGCATGACTGTCCTTTTGTAAAATCTTTCAGCTGTAGCACACTTCCGATGCCTAGCTGCCATGCTACCCGAAGGTCGCACGAGGGCTGGGATACTGTCAGGTTGCCCAAGCCTAGACAGGAGAAGTCGAGAGGCAGAGGTCGGGTTCGAATCACAGACCTTCCGGTCAGTGAATTAGCGCTCTAACCACTTGGGCCATCTTGCCCCTGATTGTCCTTTTGTGCGGGCATTGAGACAGCTGGGGCCATCGATTTACTATGACACACATATAGCCAGTGCTATATCTTCGCCGGGCCCGTTTCAGCAGCAGATAGAACACTTGCACACGATATTACGGTTTTATAGTTTAAAATTAAGGTCGTTGTATTTCGCTTTCCATCATAACAGTCGGCGACATGATTTCCGATGTTAAAGTGTACTTAGGTGGTACGACAAGATTGCACAGAGTGATTCAAGTTGGAACGACCGATCGAAGCATACAGTGGAGGTCTGTAGTCCAAAAGCGTACACTGTTTGGTGTAAGCAAATTGCACAGGATCTCCACTAAGGAGGTGGGTTAAGTCCAACGATCATAGATATGCTTGAATTCTATGGGAACATTCAACTTATCATCAACTGCGTGTCAACGGTGGATTTTCTAGGTACAATTTCGGAGAGTGGGGTAAATACCAAGCAAATAGCCCGCTTACGTGGACTGACTTTAAGGTGAGAGTCCAGTGACCATCGGAAAATCTCTCATTTATGGTATTCCGTAAGTGGCCTTTGGTAAATCGTTCCATACTACTTATACGTGTTTTACAATGAAGGGATCAAACAAATGTGTTGGCCTCCTGAAGCCATTATCAGGTGAGTTGTCTTCAACTTATCTCTAGGATCTATCCCCTACGTAATCGCACCAAAGGGGAACGGTTAAAAGAAGGACAACAGTTGAAGTCACTGATTGTTAAAGAGGGAAGACCAACATGATACTCTAACCAGGTACGGAGAGCTCGGCTGCCAATCAACATGTTTTGACTGAAAGGAACTGAAGAGGTCGAATAGTGGGACAGTGTTTCAATGCATGAAAGAAGTACGGATGGACTGCGAAAACTGAAATACTTCTGAGCATACAATTAAACACACAATCACATACTGAATCGAGGTCTGCTGGGGGCGTAGGCGTAACTTCCTGACGAGCGGCAGCTTTCCCAACATCAGCCTTACTGGGCCGTACATGGATAAGCTGACAGGGATGGGGCATTGCGTCCTCGTTGGTGTAGATAGCTGGTGCATAGAAGTCAACCGAGTGCACAATTCGGAGATACAGAATGAGTCGATCAAGAAGATTCAACATTTCTGTATCATCCGACGGAACTATGGACGTCATCTGTGCAGTAGCCAAACTGTTGCCAGCGGAAGCACCATAACCCGCACGAAACGAAAGCGCCTGAAATCCTCCTGCATAAGAGGCAACCGTGAAGTCGTGTTAGCCAAACATCACTTTGGTCATCACATACTGAGAAATCGTATAACAAGGGTGCTTCCTGAATGTTAATCGCTTCTAGCAGCTGCTATCACGAGAGTTTAAATTCTTCGGGGCCATGGAAGCAGGAAAATTGTGGAACACACAAACAGATTTAAAGATGAGCTTGCGGAAGAGTGTAGTACCGGCAACAATTAAACGCAGGTTTGGACGATAATATGACATAAACAACGAGGTTCTGTCGTACTGATTCTCTTGTGGTACCCATGAACAAACACGTGGGTGTATTTGAAAACGGGTGGTGTGCACCAGGGCTCAGTGCCACACAGGCAGGCCATGAGGTACCAGTTGGTTTATAAGCTAACACATAAAAAAGGACCTGCTCAGTCAGGTGCCGTCTAGATATGTGAGATCTGAACAGATTACCAAGTGTGATGAGTATAATTCATTTTGAAATAGAAAAGTAGCTCTGGTGAATCGCATTAACAGGACAGTTTGACGGTTCAAATACTGATGAAATCAGTTTGAAAAATACCAAAATGCTTTTAAGCCTACAACGAACAATCACCCTGGCATCAGTATTGAACGAAAAAAACACTATTCATTACTCAATAGACGCTGTTCAGTGAGCATGATGAACGACTCCACATAAAAACTGATAAGTCGAGGCTTACCTGAAAGAAGAAGTTCTTCCTCTGCGCTCCCCTCGTCGACCAGACAGTCTGTCAAACCAGTCAACAAAGGATTGTCACTGACCACGCTACTTAGGATGGTGGCAGCCTCGAGAAGATCTTCGCCAGGATCGATCGCGATAGGAGCCGGCTTTTTGTTAGCCGGAGGTGAAGAAAGTGACTTGGCCAAAGCATCCAATGCCTCGGACGCAGATCTTGCCTTTGCTTCTTCTAAGAAAGAAAAAATGAGTTCACTAAGCAAAAAAATCATTGCATTCACACTGATGTACAGTTCGAACTGGAATTCAACAGGTTGAGGACAGAATACACCAAGTAAAGGTTAATCCGCATATCAGCGATTTGTGTAAAATTAAAGTGCTCGTGGTTGATACCTCGTCTGGTTGGGTGAATTTCTGACCCAATGACTTAAAAAAATAAAAGAGAAGTCCAGATGTTATCGGATCATGCACATAAAGTAAGCGAGATATGTTCGCTTACGTATCTCCGTAACGTACTCCTCCGTTCAATTCATTCGCATTCTGGATCACTCAATGTTCATCTTATGGTGACAAAACGACAAACATGCGCACATCACTTGTGACATTAGGCACTTCTTAGATTCTTTACTCTACATTTTAGCAGTGTAACAGAACGAAATCCCACTGTTCATGGACCCAAGATAGGTCGTCTTGTCCAGCCACCAGAGCCTGGTGCCCGAGCATCCGTAATACATACCTGTTCGGAATATCGTCCCATCCCACCACATTAGTGATCCGATCCAGGTCCGCATTATCTCACCCAGATCGATAAAATCATCTACTGCCTAATTTGGTGGCGACAAACGTACTAAACATATGGTCCAAATGGAATTCCGAAAAGCCCCCCTTAGTCTGGCTGGATCCAAGGGGTTTATATATTGGATCAGATAATGGAAAACATCGAAAAAACCAATATGGGCACATTCTTCTAGATGAGCTGTGAGTGCGGAAGAGAATCAGGAAGACAACTTAGATCAGACCGAAACGTACGAGACTCGTGTGTCCAGCAGGGGTATCTCCGGATGGAAAATTATAACACACATGAGTGTGCTGCATCTTCGTCTCCAAAATGAAACTTTCAGGGAAGTATCGAGCAAAACGGGGATCGTGGCCACATGATGACACTATCTTGGACTGTGAAGTGTTTCGAAACACCAATCAGCATGAGGGGTTGCTCAGATGGCGATTATACTAGTTGGTTGTTAAAAATAGTCGTCGATATTGGCAATGTGCCAGACTATTTGAGGCTAGTTGAGTGCGTTAATCGACTGCTGATCAGGTGACAGTTGACCTTAGCGACCAGCTTGGGAAAGTTACGTCAACATACAAGGAGATATTGCTAGTGCACGGTTGGATGGTATGACATTCTTGGACACCAGGCTGCTCAGTGGGCAGCTACAGAATGAAGTCTACAAGAAAGCAATTCAGACGAAGCAAATTCTCAGCTACCGTAGTATGCTGCCACATGCATTGCCGCACTGAACACTATTCAGACAGATCAAACTCCGCTGCAACACCACAGAGACCACAGTCAAAGAGAAAAATCACTTGTAGTGTTCCAGAGAAATGGAAAATTTATCTCAATATCTCTGTGACAAAAACACACCTCGAACGCAAGGACGTAAGGAGAGCGTAAGGGATTACGCTCCTCTATATCGAGAGCATTTCTGAAATTACTGCAAGAATTTACATCAATACAGTAAAACACAACCGCTAAGGAAGTCAAAGTTATGTACAACATCCTACGCAAGGGTTGCGAAAAACAGAAAGGATGCTATCCACCAAACATCACGAATACCAGCTTGCCGTCAAGATACAATCAACTTTCACTTGCCTTCGTACATGGAGTTAGCTAGAACCAAATCCATATACTAGCTCAAGCAAGAAAAAGGACGCGACGTCAATTTATGGGAGTGTGGTACTCAAACGAGAAATACATCAACAAACACATTGAGAATCCAGAATCAGCAACCTCAAACCGCACAAGAAACTAGAGAACAAACCTGAATAAAACACTGCACGGGTAAAACCAGCCCATAAGGAGCACACATAAAAAACTACGAAGCCTAAACGGGGGTAACGATATGAAGAAATTGCACAAGACATGAAAGCACTACATTGTCAGAACCCAAAACATAAGACCAAATCGCGAATGAGGTTGAGAACGTGTCTATCAATTCAACTGACCAGTCAAGTAACAGTAAGGTGGACTGAGACTCAGTAGGCAATAAACAAGAGCCAGTCAACTGAAACGAAGGGGAAGAAGTACTGAAATGAATATATCCAGTAAACCAATTACATGAAGCGAATCGGACAATAATGCAGCAAGGATTCCAAGTGGGCCACTCAAATTATGCGCGAGCAAGTCCTGGCAACCACTCAGGTTGGAGGTATCCAATACTCTACAGAAATGATATAAACGCAAGTATAATTGGATGAAAAAGCTCACCCAACCGCTCACTGCTTTCTCGCTGGTAACGAAGCGATTGCAAACTGACTGCCACGCGCGACGAAGAGGTCAATTACCATCTAACCGACTGATGGTCTAGGATGCGGTGAAACGTCTGAGAAAGGCCGATGCGTATCGGCAGTACGAGCAACCACTTCAGCGTGTTACTTAAACACAATCTGTTTTACCATACTACCTTTGAATTGCTACGGCAACTTGGGCCACAATTTACATGCGCACAGCGGTAAAACGGAAACTGGCAACTAATTCACCACTTCAAAATGCGCTTGACGCAAAAAAGTGGAAAAAGTTCGATAGTTTGATTATTAGATAGAGGCGATTTTTAGCTTAACTTTAAAGATGAGTGTATTGCGCGATGTAAAGAGTCCATGTTTTTGAACTTACCTCGTGTAGGTACCGCATCATTTGGATTCTCCATATCGTCCGTGTCCGATTCACCTAGCTGACTAGTGTCCATTGTTGCGGGTTGTGGAACCAAGGACTGCGTAGATTCTGACATACTCGTGTCGGTCGGTTGTTTACAAGTTGGATGCGAGCCCCACAAACCACGGGCCTTGTCAAGCTCTTCGGTTAGACGAGCTGCAAGAACTAAGTGCCGCCTTAATAAGGCTTTCGAATACAGGCGTTCCGGGCAGTTGTCCAGAACTTTGGATAAAAAATGGCTTGTTGATCGGACGCGGTCGGTATTTGGTCTCCTCAAGTGGTCTGGGAGTACTCGAGCGCTACGGAGACATTCTAGCAAATCTTCTGGAGCCTGTGCTTCGGTTGCCTGTTGAAGTAAGTTACTACATATTTCTTCTAAATCCACATCAATCAAACTTTCGGCTTGTACGGTTTGTGCGGAAAACGAAGCCCAACCGACACGTCGAAGTGATATACTGGAGGATTGTGGGTTTAGTTCCGAGGCAAGGAAAGGTTCGTTTATATGACCGCAGCGATTGTCCGAAGAAGACATGATAAGCGGATCTAGGACAGCCAGTCGAATGAAGTGTGGCGAAGTGGACAATAACTGTAACAAGATCGAAGGTTCATAAAGGTTAGGTAGGTGACCGAAGTGTGTGGACATTTCACTGTCATCATTATTCATGGTAAAAAGGACCCGTATCAAGGGGTGAAATAACATGCCTACGAGTATTTCCAGTAGAGCGCATACACAAGGTGAATACAATCAAAACCAAGTTAAGTGGTCATTTTGAGACATCAAAACAGTGCCAACTAAGTGCAAGCGGACAAAGTATGACTTAGCATAAGGGTGTGAAAGTAATTACGAACAGTTTGGGAGTTGTTGGTGCAGTAAACCCTCCAAAATGGGTTTCGCATGATCCATCCTGAGCTTGGCTGGAGGCACTGCAATAAATGACGCCTGATTGATGTCAGCAGTGTTCGTATTGTCCAGATTATCTAACTGAGCGCTTGGAGGTGTAGGTACCTTAGAATGTATGCGATAGACCAGAACCAGGTTCCCCCACTCACTCACTCGTTTCGTTTTACTTTAAGGCTTTAAATACAATTAGATGAACTTTATGGTTGTATGGTAGTGAAGCATCGGCGTCAACATTGATGTTACTGTCTCTGATGATGACGTGGCTATTTAAACTGCCTTCTGTGAGCAGTGCGTCGGAACAGTGCTGTCCATGAGAATTCCTCAGGGAATTTCACGTTAATTTTAGCCAGGGACATCCGACTTATTTCCCTAGCATTCTTGGAAGAATGATTCAATAGGCCTTGCAATTGTGTACAATGTGTATTTGTTTCACACGCCACTGTGTTTTTCCTTTGCAACTGAGCTCCAGATTCCATGTTCCGACCATAAATCCTGACTAATCTACATCGATTTTATCCTGCTCTTATAAACATAGCCCGAACGACCAAAAGGCGACATTAAAAAACACAGACTCACCGAGATTAGATCTTTCTGATACACATTAAAAGAAATGTGTGGGAAGTAAAGAACGCGCGTATAATGCAGAGGAAGTCGTTGAACGGGGATGTGATCAAGTTCATTTTCATTGGTTTGGTCTTCGCCCGCAGCAAGCATCGATTCGTTCAGGTCTGAACGATTGCCGGCTTGGTCATCTGCAGCTGCCTGTTCGGTTCTTTTGACTGATTGCTCGGACTCTTTTCTGGCCGGTCTTCCGCGTGTAAAAGACGTCCTTGTTGGACTGTCACCACCGTTTTCGCTGCTAGCACCGGAACGTCTTGAGGGCCTGCCTTTACCACGTTTGTTGCGTCTGGCAGGTCTTCGAGAACTCATCTTTGGACGGGCTCGGCGATGTCGAGTGCTCTCTGTTCCGCTGTCACTACCACTCTTGCCGTCACTCTCCTCTTCACTCTCGCTGCTACTACTGCTGCTGCTATCACTTTCGCTACTACTCGTTTTGTGCGAACTGTTGTCACTGCCACTATCACTTTCACTAGATCTTTCACTGTCACTGCTGCTCTCATCACCACTGCTGCTACTGCTACTGCTACTTGAACTTCCGTCGGTGCTGTTCCCATCACTTGATGCATTGTCCCGTTCTTGTTTAGGCGGTTGATTTCTATGTTTTGATTTCAGTCGTGTGTCTTTTCGCTTCCGAGGTTTGGGTCGCTAGAAAAAGACGGGTCATTTGCATTAACCAAGTCAACTGACGAACATCAAGATTCAACTTGACTAATCAAATTTCACAATCCCAGCCACAGTCAAGTCAAACCAGGGTTATCAAAGTGATTATGCAGATAGGTGTCTACATTGAAGAAGTGATGCTGCTTCACTTATGGTTGTAGTAAATCAGTAAGATCAAAATCAGGGGGTGCGCTATACGTCATTAATGAGGTTATTTCGCGCAAATGTAAAAGAAATAGTGCTACCAATCAGACTACGGAAATAGAGTTCGACTCCTGCCAGAAACGGGGTACTTGCGCACATGCGGGTGCAAAAACATCGTATCGCATAACTGAAACGTAAAGGGCACAGAAGGGTCTCAAAACTGTTGAACCAGGTGATTGAATCATCTGCGTATGACGCAAATGCCATTGAGTTGGTCACCTCAGAAGAATGTACAAAGTGTGAATGGTGACTGCGTTCAAAATTGTTATATCTGATGATTCGCCGGCCTGTGGTATCTGCTGCTGACCCGCTCCAGTGCCTAGTGTCGGAGAGAAAAGACTCACGGAAGGGAACACAATAGCTATATTCCAACAAAGCGGGTGCGAGTGCAAAAGTACAACGGCCTCAAGCTTTTTATTAGAAGGACACTGTCTGAGCTTGGTCCAATGCTGACGCACGCGGTCTGGCCTTAGTACGAGGCAGCGACGTGCTGCATACTGCGGAGGCGTTGTCTGTCCTTGATCAACGCTGACTCGCGCTGTCTGGGTTTGATGCAAAGCTGTGACGCGCTGCATCTTGAGGGAGCGTTGTCTGTCTGGTCAACACCCAGCGGAGCTGAGAGTCGCCGTAGATTCCGGGTATTCAGTGGTTGCTTTCAGGAAGCTGACCTTCCTGATAAAAATGTTTTCATCATTATCAAAGGCACAACATCAATCTTCAACCTGATGCTTCGCTGCCGTACAAGCACAATAGAGGCCTGATGCTGTTGGCGCAAGCTGACAAGCATATGTTGCAGCTAAGACCGAAGCAAGACGAATGGGGTTGTCAGTCATAATAACCCTTGGGTCTACATGAAAGGCACTATTAATGTGGTAGGAAGTAGGGGGTGAAAATTACGTGAAAGGGAAAGAAAAGGGACGTCAGGAGGCGAGCCGGACGATGGTATCACGCGAAGGCCGACGTGGCATGAGATTATTTGTAAATGTCTGTAAGTGAGACGGGATACTGCCATGGAGCCCACATCTGGAAAGGACAGTTATGATCCTCAACAAAAAACTTCAGATCAAAAGCCTTACCGAAAGCCGGCGGTGGTTGGCGTCAGACCACCAGACCAAGTTGCTCAAAGTGTTTCAACCCACACCCTGGTGAACTAAGAGATTATGTTAATCAGACCTCTACCAAATGATCAACCTGGTATGAGGGACGCTGGGAGTGTCGAAAACAGACCGCTCCAGTATAGGTCAACGGGTCACGCAGGCAGAAAACATCATACCACGGCAATGTTTAGTCACTTTGTGACGGTTTTTAGCTACGCCAAGAGAGATGATAGCCGTACCTAAGACAACGTTAGGGAGACCTTTACACGACCACTATCGCACAGACCAAGTCAAAGTAATCTTCAAATCACAGCACGCCACATGATATGACCTGATCCGCTTATCAGATGTACGGCGACAATTCTGACCGAATGCTTTGTCTTCCGCTTTGAGCTCACGAATGACCCGCATAGGGTCATTCGAATTTCTGTGTACTAAACCCATATGTGTTGCAAATGCCATGATTAGCACCATACAAACCAAGAACCGTGACACCTAGCTTCCTGTCCTCTGCACCACTCCATAAGTAAAGCAAGCCGCTAATAAAGGTTTCGCATACGTTGTGAGATTCACCCATTATCTCTACCTGAGTTTCATAATCCTAGTCAGTCGCTTAGGCCTATTGACTGTCACAGGACTATCTTCTTTTGCTAGCGTCTGAGTCATATTTGCTATGGTTTGTACTATCAGGCATAGATATCCTGGACAACGCCTTAAACGTTATGAATACATTTGAAATGACCGGAAGGAGATGATCAGACGAAACACACTATCGATGAGCGAGGGAAGAAGTAAGCAGAAACCGTCTAGATAACCTATCAATACGATTTTATCCAGATAGGTAACTTGAGTAGCAAGAAAAATACCACAAATTTCTATAGAAAGTATACAATCTGTCCACAACGAAACCCTAAAATGACGGGGCTGTTCAGTATTCCTTCCAAAAGTCCCTCTCGAAATGGAAAATTTTTGGACTTCGTTAGTACATAATTAAGCAATGTATCTCATATTAGGTAATGTAAGATTTCCGTCCACAAAACATACCGTTTTACGGGCTGGGATGTTTGTGTGTTCAGTGCCTTCAACTTCACTCTGGGCTGGATGTCCGGAAAGTGATTCCCGTTTAGTTTGTTTGTTTCCACCCACCGGTGGATTAGAAAAGGAGTGGAATAAGGCTGGTTTTTGAGGCACATCAATGTACTTGAACTCCTCCATGAATCTAACGTCCTCTTCAGTACCACCTGCTAGTTTGACAGCCACTGAAAGGCGAGAAAAAATGTGGCATGAGAATAGCAGCAGTAACAACTATTCATTCACAAAATTTTGGCTGAATAACCTTCCACATCTTGAATAATGAAGACTCTGACCCACCGACTTTCTAAAACTCGGTAATCCCGCCTCCTCTCCTCACCTGGCTGGAGTCCTAGAAACGAAGATGGGCTTTTTTTTACAATACTTGCAGAGATGGCTGATAATCAGTGGTGCTCTTTCTTTCACACACTAATCTGTTACACTCCAAGTCACGCGTATAGACCCGATATAATGTACAACGAAATTATCAGACAGAAGGAAAGTAAGATGACATACGAAGAGAAAGCCAAGAGGTTATCGTTCAAAGGCATAAACGATAGAGTTGGCAAACTTCAAGTTCGTATTTGATCAGGTGGCTAATGATCTGTTCGCTGACCTTGGAAATTGATTTGCAAACGTTTCGTCACCATTCGAAGAGACATCTTCGGCGCGTTATTGAGCGGGCAGTCCATCTCCTCGTGATTGCGTTCAGATAGTTTACAAAGAGCAGTCTTTGCGTTGTAACCTGACTGGCCTTTGACAATCATCGTACTTGGATCTTGGTTGGTCTGATAATAAGCTGTGTTGCGTTGCGGCCATGTTGCTGTTGAAATTACCATCCATTGTTGTCTATTCCGGTTGGCCCGTTCGTGATCTGTATGGCATCGAGGTCGACTTCTCCGTTGTTTGATTGGTCGGTGGTGTACCTAATATTTATAGCGTCTGTAGTAGCGCACTGAAGGTGTCCCCTCGAGTGGTGACGAAACATTTGCAAATCAATTGCCAAGCTCGGTGAACCCGGCAACGGCCACCTGATCAAATACCAACTAATGCACCCGAACTACCAATATTCCAACACATTACCAAACTTCAAGTTCACCTACCTATATTTTATTTCATAGAAATCGGCCTATTGGAGAGGGCCGACGTTTATATAGAGCACCGTCATGGGCCTTTTGTGAAAGTGGTCTCAGCTCTTCAAAATATCCCTTGGGAGTAGTGCACACGGGTTGTGAGAAGTCGAAAACCCAAAACTGCACAGTATAAGCGCAACATCCAAGCTCCGAAGGGATCAGTGCAAGGCTCCCTTGACAGAACAACGTCGTCCGAATGAGACAAGAGGCAAGACCCATCGAATATGAGTGACGCGCCAAAATACTTACCAGTATCCAGTAGCTTGACTATATTGGCTTCGTTCGAAGTGGTAAGTGAAAGGTCGTCAAATTTTCCAGCCCGATAGAGTTCCATGAATACATCTAAGCGACGTGCGAACAAATTACGTTGTAATTCTGGATCAGGTCGAACATCCGGGTGGTATTTCTCCCGAAACCTATTGAAAAGTGAAATTTTCAAAACATCTTTGGTGTTTCTTGATAACGCTGATAAAAATGCCGGGTCGTCTAACTGGAGTGACGTATAGAACGATATTGTTAATCCAACGGATGCAAGTAGTTTTCGTCCACGACACGGGAAAAATCTGACCAAGTTAGTAATGGTGTTCAAACATTCAAGCAGCTCAGCGGTTACAACGCGAACGGGGGGTCTGTGGTTCGAACCCGACTACTCCTGGGCAACCTGGTAATATCCCAGCCCTCTTACTCCGGGCACGACACGGGAAAAATCTGACCAAGTTAGTAATGGTGTTCAAACATTCAAGCAGCTCAGCGGTTACAACGCGAACGGGGGGTCTGTGGTTCGAACCCGACTACTCCTGGGCAACCTGGTAATATCCCAGCCCTCGTACTTACTCCGGGTGGTATAGCAGCTAGATAAGTTGAAAGATTTTTGGCACTTACTCCATCCCAAAACTAGCAGTGTGCACGGTGAACTCGCCCGTTCTTAAAAGAAATCACAACAGAAAACCGGTCAGGGCGGAAACTCATTCTTATTAACTTAACTGGTCAGTCGTATCACAAAACCCCTCTTCTAGTAGAGGCCACAAAAACAGCCGCACTGGTTATAGGCCTCCAAACCGATCACAGGAAAATGGAATATCGTCCAGTACCGTGTAAGCAGAATCTAATCCACTATGCTACATGAAGCCTCTTATTTTCCATAAACCATATGTATGTGCAATTCGTGGTTGTACGTGGGCTGAGATACTGCCAGGGCGCCCACACCTAGACAGGAGGACGATTAGGGTCCTCAACCAAAGCCTTTGGCTCAAAAGCCTAACCGCAAGGCAGCGGTGTTTGGCGGGAAATGCAAATGCATTACCATTTCTACGGAACAAGTCGCCACATGTTCCAACCCCCAACCTGGAGGG